GTGCCATTTGGTCTCATGTTCCCTATATGTAAAAGCGAAGAAAAATAATTAACATCTGGCATATGCTGGCGCTCTCAGTCTATTGTTTCATACGCTGCTGTCTCATACCCCCCTTGTGTGCCCTTGCGGAAAGAAGTGGAGAGACCCAGTTAGGGTCAAGTGCAAACTGGCATTCGTGGCACAGCACTTGCTCTGCTGTTCTGCTTGTACTCTCATTCCCATTCCAATTGCCTTTTCCATTTCCATGCCCATTCCCATTCCACTCACATTCTCATTCCAAAGACTTTAATAGTTTCGTTCCATTCACTGATTTCCGCGCTCATAATTTTTAGTGGCAAACTAGAAACAATTTCCTTTTATGGTTTTTGTTGTGCTTTACTCAGCTCGCTCGCTCAACATGCGGTTCTAATCAACTGAAGTTTCAGTGCCTTTTTCAGCACCGCCATCGAAAACTCTTTGGCGAGTTCATTGGCTTCCTCTTAGCTGATCATTTGATTTGCCTGGCGAGATGCGTGTCCAGCTGAATAGTTGGAGACGCCCCCACGAATATGAAAAGGCTTTTGACGCCGTCTGACCTTCGACGATTGTTAATGGAGAGGCTGCCGAGACACTCGAGTATGGGAGGAGTCTGAGAGAGATGGCAGGGGGCCAAGTTCAACGGAAGCCAGCAAAGAAACAATTTTTCTTCTCCGCAGTCAACACTTTGCTATGCTCGCTATGCTCGTTCAGTAAGTGAGTGGAGTATATTGGTTTGCACTGATGCATGAGAGTTGGAGTAAATGAGGCAGTATAGGTAAAGATATGTATGGGCTGTATGAGGTGTGAGTAAATGAAGTAGCATCCACTAAAAGCTTTCATCGATAACCTCTTCTCGCCTTGTGCTGATTCTCTTTTTATACTCATTCACGAAAGTGAATCAGTATATTGGTTTTGTGCAATGTCCGTCTTGCTGTCCGTCCGTCTGTCCGTCTGTCCGTCCGTCCGTCTGTCCGTCTGTCCGTCTGTCCGTATGAACGCAATCTATTTCGGCGCTATTGAAGCTAGAGACTTGAAATTTGGAACACATACTCGTGTATATCTCCCATTTATAAAGTGTTAAAATGCATTTTCCGATATACCAGAAATCATGTTTGTTGAAGAGCTAGAAAGCTGAAATTTAGTATGTAGGTCCGCGTTGACCACCCAAGATCACGAGCTATGGCGGATATATCTACGCCCATTGGGGGCGTGGCAAATCGGATAAAACTGTATCTCCTAAAGTTGTAAACCTAGAATGCTGAAATTTTGCACGTCAGCTAATGGTATGATTCTATAAAGTCTGAAGATAAATTATAGGTCTACGCCCATTAGGGGCGTGGCAAATCGGACATGAAGATATAGTGATTTTTTAAATTCTCCTATATTTTGGACACTATTGATGGCAGAGACCTCAAATTTTGTATACATACTCGGACTGATCACCCAAGACCAAAAAGTTTTATCGAATATATGTCCGCCCACAGGGGGCGTGGCAAACCGCAAAAGTTTATATCTCCTAAAGTATAATAGCTAGAAGCTTCAAATTTGGATAGTTGAGTTACTGGTAGCCTCCTCTATCGATTCCCCAAAAATAATTTTTACGCCTCTTTAGGGGCGTGGCATATCGAAAAATACCCTGTAATTTTCACATTTTTTGAGGGTAAGCATTCAAACTTTGCAGTTAGGGTACCGTTATCTCTTTCTAAAAACTGACCAAAAATGAGGTGTCTACGCCCAGTTGGGGCGTCGAAAAAACCTGTATATTCTACAGTATTAGAGCGAAACTTAACTACTAAATTGTTGATGGGATGTGAATGAGTATTCCGCAGTCGGTAACGCCCGACTGCAACGTTCTTACTTGTTTCTTATTATAGATTAGGAATGGTTTCAATATATTCTGTTTATTAAATCCTCACTAAACTATGAGCGAGCATTCGACAGTCGTTCTAGTCCATTCAAATAGTTTTCCACTTGTATTTTTTTTATCCACTTGGAGTTGCAAGTTGCGACGAGTCGCTTGCAACATTGCGTAGCGTTGTTTTGTGGCTTGTAGCCAGTGCATTTGTGCCGCCCCTTGCGGGTTTGCATTTTTTGCAGATGTCTTTAAGATGATAACCCCGAACCCCCGAAACGTATTCCACTCGCTCGCCACGGTAAAAGTGACAACAACAACAACAACAGCAACAACAGCAGCAGCAACTGCTGAAAGCAAATGAAATGTTTTCATTTCTTGTATTTCTTTTCGGGTATTTTTGTTCGGTTTTTGTTGTCGTCTCCAAGTTGGGTCTGTGTCGCAGTTGTACAGCTTATCGCCGTGGGGCCATCTGTTCAGGGGCCAAACAGAGCCGTAAAGAAATTAATTCGCCTAACCCTGTCGACACCTAACACAAGGCTAAGCCCAACAGCCACCAGCCAACAGCCAATGCACTGCGCCACACATGGCCATAGCCACTGTCAATGTGAAGAAGAGGCTTTCACTTAGCCACGCTCCCTCTATCCCTCTATCCCCTCTCCCCTCTGTCTCCTCTCGTCTGCATTCTTGATGGCCACCCGCATCAAATTCGTGCCTTGCGCTTTTGAGTGACTTATGCAAATACTTGACGCAAGGTTCATCAAGCAGAGAGAAATGAAAGGCCTCTATGAAGGCGGGTTAACTGCCTAATTATGCAAAGCGGCTTAGACAGCGAGGCGAACCCATTCATTTGGCCAGGGCCAAAAGGAAGCCAAACTTGGCCCCTTACTTTGCATAATTGACGAGCGCCATTTGATGCACTTTGCAGAGCAACAAAAATTAAGCGAAATAAACCCCGGAAATATTCGTCTCTAAACCATGTTGCATGCCCCATTAAAATGTGTGCGTGCGTCTGTGTCTGTGTATGTGTGTGTGTGGAGGAAAGTGCTGCGGAAATGCAAAACCAAATAGTTTTGCAGCGAGTGTGAAAAACTTGAAAATGTTTTCAAATTTTTTTTTAATGTTATGCGGCGGGGCGCGAATAAACAAAGGCAAAAGGCGAATGCAGTCCAAGCAGCAAAAGAATGCACATAAAATATAAGGCGCAATTGTTATGCTCGACTAAGCGGCAATACACTGCGAGAAAAATGCTAGAGAAACAAGGAAACTAATAAAATTGATGTGAAGAGCCTATTTGGATTGAGATGAAAGAACTGAAAAGACTTTGACTTGAAATGTTTCCAAATTATTTACATACAAAAAAGACTTGTTAAATATTTCAAGCTCATCATAAATTTTGCTCAGTGTAAGCGCAGTTGGCAACAGTTAAGGCTAGTTAAGGAAACAAAACCATTTTGCCAACCTGTGAACAGTTTTACAGACCAGACACATTTTTGTGTCGAAACTTCTCAGTGCATAAAGCCAGGCACTTAAGAAGCAAACGGCAGGTGCAGGGCCCCAATGACAGGTGGGCGTTGCAGCTGAGGAAAGGGGCGTTCGCCTGGTCATGGGTAAATGGGTTTCGCAGTAAGCAGCAACACTCGAGCAAAGACTCTGATTGTGTGGCATTTGGCCAGCCTAGGCCGGGCCAGGCCAGGCCAGGCACTGACATTTGGCCAGGGCCAACAATCGCCGGCTGATTGCAGCTCTGCTCGCATTTAATCCCAGTTGTTTGGCTGCACAGAACATGGCATTAGGCGAACACCTAGTGGCTACTGGAGATGGTGGCTACTGGAAAGATAGTCCCAATTGCTGCTGCCGCTTAACAAGCGCAATTTCCATAATCTATAGGAAATGCAGCAACGACACGCTCCACACTCCACACTCTACACTTTTCACACCATTGATTGCAGAGCTCTGATCCAGCCAAGTCGAAAAAAAGAGAAGAAGAGCCAGAAACCAATCGCTTCCGCTTGATGTCAATGCTGAGAATCTCTGCTGAACGTGACCAAGAGTTCGGAGTTGCTCAGCGGGCGAATCCCAAGCGAAATGGGGCTTCAATTACGAGCAGAGTTGCCAATTGCGATCTAAGTAAAAGAGTTGCTCAATGTAAAGATCAAAGTGATAGATCATTTGCCAAACCAATTCTTGAGAAAGAAGAGATAATACATTATAATTTTGCTATAGGCAACTCTGGCTAAATTGTATAATTGAAGTGTGTGTGTTTGTGTGCTGGCAACCCTGTTAAGCTGTCAGCTCTTAACAGTTTGGGGCTGCACAGCAGCTGACGTAGCTGTGTTTTTCCCCCATTTTTATATCCACTTGGAGCTTAAATTTTAATTAAAACGAAACAAATAACTTTTGCATTAAATGATGAAAATTCAATTAGGCACACAGCCTGGCAACTCTGTTGAACAATGTTCAGGCACAAACTCTTGCTTGGCTGCTGCAGCTACTACTACTTCTTTTTCGTAAATTCCGGCTTATACAACTAATAAATAAATTTCAATTAAAATATGCATGTGCCTTGGCAACTCTGGCAGAGTAATACTTTTGCTGCGGGTGCAGTCAATTTGTGTCGACATCTAGTGGGCGTCTTTGGGCCGTTCTTTGTGGCTTTCACCTTATAGAAAGCTCATCATCATTACAAATTTTCGGCTTGAACTGTGCCCAGCCTCTGTTGGAGTCACAACCACACACACACACACACACACACAGAAACTCATATCGCAGCTAAGCATCTATTACAATTCGATTTATCGCGATGCTCTTGAATTACAAATAGACCCGCCTGAACCAACTCTGATGAGGAGGCATATAACAAAAAAGTCCAAAAATGTTTTTTGGGTGCGGCTCTTGGTTGGGTCTTCGCCTTTTGTCTTTGGGCCAAGTTTGTCTCAAGTTGAAGGCGCCAATAACATTAAAACTTAATATACAGAGTTTAAAGTAAATTACAATTGGATAAGTCATCATTGGGTCAACGACGACTTCAAGCTGTGGGCCTTCAATATATGGGCACAACTGCAACTGCAACTGCGATTACATAGGCAACAAAAGAGTTTAAAATTGGAAAGTTGTGGTCACTAAAAAGTTGTCTGTTTCAATTTAATTTTATTAGGGAATTGGGAGAGTTATGTGTAGGGTATATCGGATGGTATATAGGAAGCCAAGCAGCCAAGTCAGATTTTGAGCATTTTGAATCTTCTCTTTTGGGAAACTGATACTGAAACTACATCAAGTAAAGCATTCAGGATAATCTTGGAAATCCTTCTGAAAATAAAGCACCCTAGTATGTGATCCCTTCACATAGATCATCTAGCATATCCCCTAGTATGTATCTGCTTTGCACTCTGACCTTTTCCATTTGGCAATCCAACTCCTATTCAAAATCCCACAAAAAGCAATCCTCTTAGGCCTTAAGCCACATTATAAACACATCAACATGAAATTCATCAATTGAAAGTGCGCCGCAGAGAGATGCGATCCGAGGAAACGTCACGCGAGCAGCTTCCCAAGCGGAATGACAAAGTCTTTGCTGCAACGCCAGTGTCTTGGCAGTTGCATGTGCCATGTGGCATGCTGCATTCGGCATGTGACTTGTGGGTGATTGGTTTGTAAGCGTTGAAAACTTTATTATTGTATTATCACATTCGACTCGGGCTATGTGCGGGACGAAAGCAAAGATTCAGTTGTTGTGCTCGACTCGAGCTGTTTTCTGGCGTGGGTGCTAAGCCCGTGTCACAGCTTGGGGACTATGCCAATCCGAAATTCCCGAAACGACATGTGCAACATGCATTTGCCGTTCCCTTTTGCTGCATGTTGGCTTTTGGAAAATCATTTAAAAATAATTAAGCTCATGTTGTCTTACCCAATTGAGCGGCAGGCGCCCACGTCCCACGCTTTGATTTGTATTGTGGCAAATGATTTTGTTGAAAGATTCCTCAAAAATGTATTTATTTTGGGCTTGACATCTCCCTGGAGCTCTCGTTTTGGAGTTTAGGATTACAGTCGGGGCTGCGTGGGGCGTTGCATCAATAAATCAACACGAACGAACGGAAGTGTGGAAAGTGAAACACGATCTTTTGTTACACATTCCGATATCGAATATCGATATGTGCTCATGTAAATGATTTGTGATAATTGAATTTCGTATCGAAGCAAAGGGGAAATAAGATTACTGTAAGTTTAGTTTATTAACTGAATCACTCCTTGAACAGGGAAATACTATATTGGCTAAGAAAAGCGGTGAGCGGATCGAATTGGCAATGAGCAAGGAAGAGAGTAGAGTAGAGTCGAGAGAGGAAAGAGAGTTGTGTCTCGCTGTCCGTTGATGATGCGATTAAAAGATAATGACAGCAACAGAAAACTATCAAATGACAGATTAGAACGCATACTGAAGGCCTGACGAATCGCAGAGAAAGGCAATAAGAATTTATGAACTCAAGGGAGACCTTAATCTGCGTAGTAAATACTGCCCAAATATATAGAGTAAACAACTCTTATAGCTTCAGAGAATGCCAGATGAGAGTAGCATCAGTTCAGTGGCAGCTGTGTCGACTTAGTCACCTTTTAATGGGTTTTCCAGGCCCTCGCAGTGTCTGTGTCTCACAAATGTCTGTGGGGAGTGCCGGCAAAGCTTACTCATAGACAGAGTGTCTTTTCCGTAGATTTATGTGGAGAGTAAGTCAAAGTCGTGCACAGCCTGAGTCGAGGCTGTGAATGCTTTGCCACCCGCGGCTGCATCAGCGGCTGCTGCTGCGGCGGCAGCTTATGACAGGTGTCCAATGGGATGACAACACAGATTTCAATTACAATTCGCACACCTTTTGACTCCTAATTTCTGGCTAAGGCATGTAAAAAGCGAACCGCAGCGCAAATTAGGCAACAAACGCCGGCAACATGTTGTCTCGCCTGCCGCGCAGCATGTTGCACAGAAAGTAATGGCAATGGGAATGGGCAATTGGCAGCGAGCAATTGGCAATTGGCAATTGGCAATTGGCAATTGGCGATTGGAATTGCAATAATTTATGACTTTTAATTTGCCACTTGTGCAAGATTTATGGCCCAATATGAAAATTGAAATGCAATCAAAAAATATTATGTTAACCTCTGACCTCAGCAAAGGTAGGAAAATTGAAAAAAATAAGAAGAAGAAGAAGAAGACAGATACAGAGACAGAAGACAGTCGAGGAAAATATGAACTATTGTGGCACATAAATCAGCAGCAGTGCAACGACAGTTTTTGGCGCCCTTTGCTGGCACAGCTACAGTTTTCACTCCATAAATGCAATAGCAACAACAACAACAACAGCTGCAGCAGCAGCAGCAAATTGATTGACAAGCCATGAAATTGCATTTTGTGTTTTCGGCTTGGCTTCTCCAGCTGCTGGCTGCTGACAATTTGAAATGGCTTAGAAAGTTTTTTGTTTTGTGAACTGAACTCTGACCCCGCCGACTCGCCGACTCGCCGACTCGCCTGGGAGCGTCGCGTCCTTTTGGCTGCATGCGTCCTGCTTGTTGGTGGCAAGCAAGTGAGGCATATCATTGGCTCATCATCGTGTGGTGGAGGGAGGAGGGGAGGGAGGGACTTTGATCTCCAGCTGCGCCAGGCGTCATGCATGAACGGCCGGTGTTAGCGGCTGCAACATGCAAATATGAACATGACAACAACTTGCATGCCACACACACCAGACACCGCAGTCCACCCCACCTCTTCTACTCCTCTCCCCTTGACTTGTCTCTGGTATGCCACCCAAGCATTGGCAATTGCATTTCCTATTTGCGGCCTTGGCTTCCTTCCTATTGGCCACGTTTTTTCTTCACTCTCTTCTATTGTTGTTTTCCTCGTTGTTTGCATAAACATTTTGCATGCACTGTGCGACTCGTATTTACGCCCCGTACTGTAAGATTTATTTGCTCTAGCCGTGGCTCCTCTTGATGTCTTGCTTTAGCTCTGGCTGAGGCGGCTTTGGCCTCAGCTTCGTTGACTCGTGCAATAATAAATTTGAAATGTTTTGGCATTTTGGTAGCCATTGAAGCGCAGCAAAGCCCGGCTAAATAAACATTTGAAAACGTGCTACGAATTGTTTATGTTATGAGAATTTGCTTAGTTTGAACAGAGAGGGAGGACGGTCAAGGGAGGGGAAAGTGTTTAAATTAAGTGGAAATTTATGCTAGAGGAGTTGTGATTGAATATGTGTGGCATATGCTTAAAAAGGAGTTTAAAGTACAGTGAAAGGTTAAAAGAGGAAAATGAGAATCTGAATGTGGTTGAATGCGAGTTGAATTGAAATTGAATTGAAGTATGTATGCAGCTAATAATTGATAATAATTATAAAGTAGACTGAACAACTCCTCTGTCTACAGTCTGATTGCATTTTGATGCCTCGTAATTATAGGAAATAAGATATCTTCTTCGATGCGATAACAGCTTAATGGATTGATTGTATGGCACACTCAACAGGCTTATTTTGGTCACATCTGAAAGCATTTCGCCTCTCAATTAAATGCATGAATCTAATCTAATCGATTGACACTTCACTCTCTATGACATACAATATTTTATTAGCTGCTCTTTAATATCAGAATTCCATTGATTTATGGCCCAAACTAATGCACTCGGAGCAACTTATCAGTTGAATATGGCTGCAAAGTGGGTCAGCTTTAGATATCGAGTGCTTTATCGATTGCCCTGTTATCGTCTGCATCAAGAATGCGGCTCGAATGAAAGCACTTTCCAGGCATTCAACCGGCATTGGCTGGCTGCATTTTTGTCGCGTGTCTGCCACGCCCGCTCACTCGGAAAATGTCATGCACCATTGCCACATGCACGAAGCCATAAAATTGGGTGAAAATCTATTTCTTTTCCGTTCAATGGTTGTTGTTGTGGCTAGACATAAATTGTGGCTAGAAAATAGCTTTTCTCGTTTGCCCTTATTCAATTAGCATAACAAACTATAACAGCGCCTGCTACTCTTACTCCAACTCCCACTCCCACTCCGCCTCCCACTCCTACCTCCACCTCCTCCACTCAACACCCACTCGGTAAATGCCGATATGGCGCCCATTTTTGGTGTTTTCCATAACAGGGCATATGGTGCTCTCTCTCTCCCTCTCCCTCTCTCTCTATCTCTCTCTTTGGGCCTGTCAATTGTGAATGTTCTATATATGTTAAAGATTTCTCTCATTTGTTATTATTGTTTATCCGCCGGGCATCTGGCGATTATTCGACTGCCAGAGTGTGGCCAGACATTTCACTTAAACAAATCATGATCATCGTCCATCGTGCCTGTTGTCAAACATGTCGCTCTACAAGATCTAAACAACGGCGCCGTGGCCCCTATTTAGACATAAATTATATATTTATAGCCCTGTCGATTCTGTTTGTCTGGGAAGTGGTTTTTCTTTTCTTCCCCGTCTGCCCATAAATTTGATGTGGCTTTGGAGTGCATTTCATTAGGTCGCCTGAGAAGTTGACAAAACGAATCAAAGCAAATGCATTTCGAAAGTTTACTATGGAGCGTAATGGATGTCTGAGCAGTTAAGTCTATCGATGCGGGAGATGTTGAAGTGGAGGTAACTTGGGAAAGGAAGCTGCTGGAAAGCATTTGCATGTTATATCCAGGTTTTATTTCTTAGCATGTATATAAATCAAGAAAGGCATCTCTGGAATCGGGTATTTCCTAGTCAAGCTCTCCCGACTAGAACACTCGAATGTGTTTCTCTCTTTTATTTCCCTTGACTGTATACCAAATATAGCTGCTACTTATATCGTATATATATATAGGTCTTGCATACTTAATATCAAATCAACTAACTTTGTCTCGTTCTTCTCTTCTCTTTCTAGGTAAGAATCATACATACAAGGTCCAAGATCTCTGATCTCCGTCTTCAGCAATCGCACACACATGTGTTGCGTAAGTTTTTCCAGCTATTTTCGGTTTTTCGAATTTTGTGTTTGTTTTCATTTTCTATTTTCATTTAGTTTTTGCTTCCGCAATTAAAATTGCCATTTCTCATGTTGAACTATCAACAACAAGATGCCATTTCCCTGCCTGCCCAAGTCTGGCGGTCATAATTTTTTGGCTTTGCGTGCAAATTTCAATTTTTCATGGCAGGCGCGAAGAGGGGAACGAAACATTGCAACGTTCAATAAACTAAAATGGAATCCAGATTGAGATACACATATATATGCTTATGTATTTTATACATATATCACAAATGTGTTATGTGCTGTGCAGTTGCCACGCCCCTCTTAGCAGGGTCTTTCTTTAACGATTTGCAATTAACATTCATTCGCTTTCACTCAACTCATCTCTTTGAGTGCACAAATTATTCGATTCGCGCTTTGTTATGAATGCAATTTCTTAATTGCCCCAATGCAATGGACTTTCGCATTTCATTGCCTGATTTATTGCCTAATTATTGAGTCTGTATTGGACAAATAATCGATAATGCTTTATATTTTAATTGAATTTATCGTTGAGCTAAGCCAGCTGAACGTAATTGTACATTTTAATGAAGTCGAAAGACATTCCAGAGATTATGACTGGCAGCCAAATGAGTAAAGTTATGAGATATTTCTCATTAAAGGAAAAATCAACTCCCTCTCGCTCCTTAGACTTATCAAGAGATAAAGGAGAATATTTGGGCAAGTACTACGACACCTTGAATACCCCTACTCGACTACTTAGCTCATTTCTTTCGCCATCTTTGAACCACTCGATTAGATTATCGATCTCTGCCTACTCGGGCATTAGGCTTCCATGCAATTAGCTAATTATGCAGAGAGTCAACGCTGCAATTGCAAGTCAATCGCTCTGCAGATAACTTTTATTACGAACAACCCAAGACTCGTAATGATTGCAATGATCATTATGATGATGATCAGCATTTTGATCAGTATCGGATCGAAGCGAGCAATTACTTTTGATAAAAGTGAACGCGGCCAGGGCATAGAGGACCTTCATTTCAGCCATCTAAACAAAGGCAGCGCTTTGAAGCAAGATGCGCTGCGGATCGCTGGGCTTGCCCTAGGCCCAACTGCATCTGTTTGAGCACTGTCAGAGTGTCTGTCTGTCCAGCTGTCTGTCTGTCTATGCAGTGCGCTGCCGACCCGAGTTTGAGTTCGAGTTCGACTTTCTGTCTGACAGTTTTTGG